TCGTTCATACCTTTTTTTTTCGTTTGCGGAACTTGCCGACTTGCTTGGTATAGCAAACTTTCTGATTCGCCTCCATCTTTGTTTTTTACTCTTCACTGTTAAGCAAAGCATAAAATGTTGCCAATAATATAACTGGGAATCGTCAAGTAGCCCCCTATGAGCGATCCAACTACCCTCTTACCGTAATCTTTCTCACACTTTGAAGTACATTCGAACTTCTTCGAAAGCTCTGGCTAAACTGGTCGTCATAGCGTCGTGTCAATATCCACCACCAGTCACATGCCGACGACATTTGCTAAGCCCACGTCACTGATCAACCCCTTCCAATCGATATTCAATCGATGTATTGACTTTAGACATGGCTCGCACGGGTTTGTTTCTAGAAATTATTATTTGTAGTGGTGTGCCAGTGCGCGTGGAGTGTGGGGGAGGAAAAGCCGGCTTCGCTGCGAGGTTGGGTTCGAGAGATCTGGAGGCGCTAAGCAAATCTTGTTTGCTAGGCTAGGATTTTTGGCTCTCGACGGGCTCTCGTCCTCCCTAGAGCCACCTTACCTGCCGTCCGCCTGTCTTTCTCTTCTGCCACCCGCTTCTCATTTCTTCTTAGTTTTTTTATGGGTTCGAACCTTTTGTTGTTGTAAGCTCGGCGGAAAATTTATTGTGGCTGATCAGAAATAAGTCTCCATTGAAAATATAAATTTACAGCTTGACATTTTTTATCACCCTAATGTGAACTTAAAAATCATGTTTGATGGGCGTTTTGACACATTTGATTAACAAGCGGTTTTTCTAAGGAAGAATTATATCACTTGCATGGATGGTATAGTCAGAAGCGCTCTCTAGCTTCCATACATACATATCTGGTCTGTAATAAAAAGAAATAAAAATTATTTTGAGTAAACCATTATTTTTTTTGAAAGTTGACTGATCTTTGTCACTGAGTCTGTCTGAGACACATGGTTCTCTGGATACGAGTACAAGTTGTGTATGACTCAAGCAGTTATGCCATTTCTAGTTCTCTTCGATATATTAGAAATGGATTTTCACCGAGCTCTTTCAAAAACCTCTTCCCCTTAGGCTGTTTTTCTTGAGGTTTTCTAGAAGTATTCGATCGAAGTGCTGCTGAACTGTAGGCAAAATGTTTGGCTCGGACAGGGCTTGAACTTCTATTTGTGCTTCCCGGAATGTGGACTTGGACGGTCGGTGGTTAAGAGCGAGCGCTCGAAAGCTCTTCGGTGCGACTTTCGTTCGAAGCTGGACGTTTTCCTATATCTTAGCTCAATTGTGTTGAAATTTTCGAAAAGCCTTCTTCTTCGACAAGACTTTCTAGCTAAAATAGGGAAAACATCGAGGCTGGGAGTCTGACGGATGCCATTGAATGAGGGATTTTGGGCGATTTGAATCACCTACTCACTCTGGGAGTATTCTGAGAAGTGCCGGTGACACTCTACAATTTCTCTCTTTATTGTAACAGCAGAATTGAAGAATTTATCCAAAGCATGGACTGTTTCTACATCGAGCATTTCACTTTTGATTTTTTGATTATATCCGTCGGAATCACTTGTTAATCCATTCCAACTCAGGTCATACTTTTCTTATTCACATACTTAGATCGTGATTCATCCGTTTGCTGGCTTAGCTTGCTGACGAATGATTCAGTATAAGTTGATGTCAGCCATGGCTCATTCAGAACTAGAAATAAGCTGAGTGTAAGCAAATCGTAGCTTTCCCTGTTGGAATCGTCCTGTAACATGTCACCGCCACCCATGCCACCGTTTACCACAACTAACACAGAACAACAGAATTAATTGTTGGTCCTCTACAGAAAAACGTAGATATACATGCACTGGAGGCTGACCTTAAACTGCTTGCCCATAAGGCCCTCCCTCAAGATTAGCTGAGAAACATTTTTCTGCCCACTCCGAGCTGTCATCGATCCAATGACTCATTCGTGGCTGCTTGCAACAGGGAATCGATTACTAAAATGTTTTGGATTTTACGATCACTTACTTCAGGACATTGTATTCTCTAACCGCACAAATTGGTCAATTAGCTGGTAATGCTCAATGGCCTCCTTACGGTTAATCATTGTGTTTCGATCTAAGCGACAGTCGTACTCATGTTGAGAAGTGCAAACCCAGTGATAGTAGTCATACAACAAAAAAGAAGGAGATAACAAGTGGTAAAGATTGATAAGCCACTGCCATAAGCAAGAGCCACTGACTGTCACTAAAAGTAGGCCATTAACTCTTTGGTGTGTGATGCAAGGGTGTGCAAGATTCGTAAATGGTTTATGGCTAAAGCGATAAAGGCTACCGGGGAAGGGGAGGGAGGTTAGGAGGCAGATGTCACTGGATCTTTGAGATCAGATGAAAATATACGAGTGGCGAAATGTAAGAGGGACTGAAGTAAGCATTGATAAAAGCCATTACCAAATATAAGATAAGCGAATTTGGTGCTTCATCTCTAATACGTTGTGACCACTACTAATAGAGTTTGGAAAACCGTATGATGATTCACGTTTTGATTCTATGCCGACCGAAGCTGCGAAAGATAGATCTGTGCGATCGTTAAGAGATAGAAACCTTGCCGAATAGTACCCATGAGTAAACCCATGGAAAACGATACTTATTGTTGTTATCACTCGTCGAAAGCACTAGCAAAGCCTTGGTCTATTAGCCGGGATGCTGGGCAACAGAAGTATCGCCGCAAACGGATCGACATAACCACAGTATTGCGAGCTGATTCCGGGTCCTGCTTCTAGAAGGAGCGGGCATCTTTTAAACCGAGTGTTCCGACTGGTATATATACATAGGTAAATATACATAAATATATATACATCTATACATAAACATATATGCATGAAGCCCGAAGGACAAAGTCTTTTGTATCAAACGATCCCTTTTTGGAAGCGCAATCACATTCGACATCCATTCAGAATCGCAGTATGATTGCGTATGTGGCTTATACAATGAATTGTGGTAGCCAGCCAATGTCCAATTCAAGCTTTTAGCCTCCCAGACGAGCCTGGTACAAAACAACGACCTTGGAGGGATGAAAGGCTCGGTTAGTCCGGCAAAGTTGATCCCAGATTCCATTTCCTGACCTTACATATGTAATAGTGCTCCGCTGGCTACTACACCACCTCCGCCCATATTCATATGCATACATACATCTATATATCCAATGAAAGAAGTTGAAAAAAGAATAGTTATCCACCTGGTACAACCAGTTCTGCCATCACTCCGGGGTCGGTTGATTGGTACCATGCTCGTCTGAGGGGATAAACGCTTTGACTAGTACATTTTCTGACTACCGCAAGTCATTGTAGTCACACGCAATCATACTACGATTCTGAATGTAATCGAATGCAGTGGAGCATCCCTTAAATGGGGTTGATCAACTCCCAACGACTTTATCCTTCCTTCATCAAGGCAAAAACCGACATGCTATCACAGCCACCTCTGAGAGCACCACGCACTCCAGTTGGTTTGCCAATCCTACCACTACACGGCAAAAAAAACCTTTGCGGCATGTCGTTCCATGTGACTTTAGCCGAAGCCTGAAAGAGTGGTAGACCGAAGTGATTGGTTAAAAATCATACAAAATGCAAAAAATGTTCTAAAATTCGGTATCTTCTTGTGAGTAGAACTTAGACAGTGGCTTGAAGAGCTGCATACATCAGAATAGAGTTCAATCTCTCCGAACGAAATTGTTTCGCTTCCCAGTGTGTTTTTCTCCTCAAAAATCATGAATAGTGCTTGAGCAAAATTGTAGAAAGATTTTTTTGGTAAATGCTAAAGCGGCACAGCTACATTTAATCTGTTCCCCAAGGAAATCGTCTCAGACAAACCTCTGAAAAACGGTTGTCCTCTTGATAAGAAGGGAGTCCTTCATCTCCAAGAAACTTATCACGGTCTATAAGCTCACATTTTCGCTCCTTACCAGTCGGATTCCTTTGATAATGCCGGGCTTCCTTTTTCACTCCGAAAAAATCGGAATGCCATCAATATACATATAATAATAAATCTTTACAACGTGCAAACGATCCAACATTCCTTATAATATCATAATCCTGTGGCTACTCTTTTGTAACGCTTGTCATCAGCTCATATCGGCTGCCATCATTTCCTGCAGGCCACCATCGATGTCCTAACTTATCATTCGTATCATTTCCATATTTTGTAGCCATAAGAGCACTCATCAAAAACGAAGAAATAGCACGAACATTACAGTAGAATCACAACTACTCCTCGTTACATTGCCAGCTTCAACATTCTCGAAAACTGCCCTTCCCATAATTCACTGGTAGTTCGGTGCAAATTTATAGTGAGGCTGCTACGGTAGTCAGGTCCATTCATTCATAAATCGATTTCGGTTAGTCATCAGTAAGCTTCAATTATCATCCACGACAACATCCGTTCTGCTCCATCATTTGATGTTCGTGATCGGTTGCTTTTCTTTATCCTCGGACGTCATACATTTCGCGATACTGTCGCAGATACTCCGAAATGATTTCTTAGCGTCTCGCACGTTAGCAAGATGTTCAGCGCTGGGCAAAGGTTCTGCTGGTGTATGGACAAAAGGACTTTTCTATTTACTGTTTACACTAACTCTCCTTAAGCATTTGGTTGATGTTATAGAATAAGTGACGAGCTGTCTAGTCTTGGACCACCCACAGTAGACATAGGTCTATCATGTAGCGAGTATGCTTTTGCCTTCTTGAGAATCTTCAAAGTAACCCTTCCTGAAGGTCACTATCACTAGCCTACCAGGGAGACATACAATTATGATGAATGCTTGGGAAAGGTTCTGTACCTTCATTATCACAAAGGATGCAATACGGATTTCTGGTCCCCTAAGTTTTTCCATTATCCGACTGTAGTAATCTCGATCCCTTCTTTTCTCTACCTTTTTGTTTTGGTATGTCCATGAATTGACGCTGTTTTAATTTTTGTCACTTCAACAGCAGAATGATCTTTCAGTCCGTCATTTGAATCGGCATGGGCAGCTTTGAAAACGACCCCGGCTGGAAGTTTTTGCGGCAATCTCCCGAACAGGTGAGCTCGCTCGGGTATTTTGCATCCTTTGCTTTTTTGCATGGATCCTTTCTCTTCCTATCATGATAAAAAACTGAATGATTGATACAGCGTCAAGATTAGTAAAAGATATGAAATTGAGAGCCGCTACCACACATAAAAGGAGGCAAACTTGATGAAGACCGAGTTGTGTACAGGAAGTCGCTAGCAAGTCATTGAGTAGCTCCACTAGATCCAAGTGGGAGTCGAATGCAAGGGCATACCAATAGGAGACTGGCTCACGTCAGAAACTTCATCCATAGAACACCGTCACTGGAAAGAGCCTCATAACGGTTGTGAGCCGACCAAACTTTTTTNAAGAAAGAACCTTTGCTGACTTATCTACCCGTAAAAGTGTTTATGGCGATGAAAAGCTCCCAAAACGACAGGTTCTGATGTGAATTCTCTTCACTTCCTGCAGAGACCCATTTGGAGATTGAGAGTGTTCTTGCGAATCATTTACTAACCCTTTTTCCTAACGTAAAGTCTAGAGTTTGCAACAAAATAAGAGGATCGGTATTTTTCTTCTAACCTCACAAATGACTACCCATCTCAGAGCTCAAACCTCACTTGCTTATAATAATAATGTTAATAACAAAAGTCTCGATATATAGTCTCGGTTGCTTCTTGTAAAACCAAATAACAAAAAGAATAACAAAAGTATAAATAGATGAATGGTGGGAATCAATGCTGATAACTCCTGCGCCACTTAAGATTCCTTCATTGGATATTGCTCGACATTACAATACATCGATATTCTCCATATCGGGTATTAACTAGTATTTCACAAATGTTGTTCTCATTCAGTTGTTGGCAGCTACGACGAAAAAGTTTGATTCCAAGAAGAACGTCTGGATATCGGATGCTGAAGAGGGATTCATTGCCGCCGAAATCAAATCGACGAAGGGTGATACCTTGGTTGTAGTGACCAGCAAGGGAAATGAGGTCCGTCATTCTTTTTTTGTATGTCCTTGGGGCTGAAAATTTTGCAGAAAATTCTAGGTAGAAAATAGACCTGATTCCATTGAAATTTTTCTCTATTATAACGCTAAGGCAAGCGACCATGCCATAAAAATAATCACAGGAAACACTGGATCCTTCAATGTTCAATGTCTGCCCTATCATACTTTCCGTAAAAGGCGTTTCCACTAGCAACAAGGGGTGAAAACCGATGAACAGAAGGGATGGCTTTCGATCAAAGTGTACCAGAAACCATCCTGTGAGAAAGTAACCTCGTTTGTATGTGTGATCAGACATGTTGTGTATGTTATTTAATTGTTATTTTTGCACGACCAGTGTCCAAGAAAATTGGATCAGAAAGAGGCTCTACGTACTAGAGCACTAGGATCAGATGAAACTCTCTTAACAGTGCATACTTCGCGCCATAAGGAGAGGAAAAATACGTGAAGTTAGTAAAAGCCGCGAAATGGAGAAAATCTCAATGAACGACATGGATGACAACTATGAAGATAGCCAACGCCGAGGTGGCAACATGCGGGCGAGTGCCAATACACCTCATTTACCTGAACACGGACCCCATCACGCTGGCATGGTACAACAATAGGATCAAACCTTACTTTCCTCGAAAGATGAGTGTCCTGTCGTCCATTTCATTATGAAGTTTCTTCAGCATGCGGCAATAAGCTCCTGGTTTTCCTAACGCCTATCCACGTCGTTCCTTGGCAAGGGGATACAGTGAAAATTCTTGCTTTTGAAAATTCTGCAAATTTTACTGAGCTGGTGGCTGAGTTATCGTTTCTTTGACTTTTCTGGTAACTACTTTGTACTCCAAAATCGCGAAACCTGTCTTAAACATATGATTTTCGATTCCTTGGTTTGAGTTATGCCTTCCATTGCCATGTTCACGTGGAGCAGTAGCAACTTTGCATTTCCTTCTGCGCTCGCGTTCATGGGTTTTTTCGATATTGAGATCAAGATGCCTAAATCCGAATTCGAAATCAATTCAGCAAATTATGCGTGTGGTAAATCAGCAGTACCATTTCGCACAACATTCAAACACTACTGATTCAAAGCCTTTATTTTCAGAAAACCATCAAAAAGGATGAAGCTCAGCAGATGAATCCGCCAAAGTTTGAAAAGACTGAGGATATGGCTAATTTAACGTTTCTCAATGACGCCTCTGTGCTTCACAATCTTCGCCAAAGATACTACTCAATGATGATTTATGTAAGGATTTTCATTATCATTTCCTACAGATGCCGTATATATCTGCAATTACTCTGACCGATCTCCCATCTTCTACGATAGCAGTGGGTAAAGAATGTTTAAATGGCTTTTTTAATCGCGTTCTGGTTGAGCGGACGGACCGCAACGTTATGAGGTTGAGCAGTGAAGTGAATTCCCGGAAGTAATCCAATGAGGACATGTCCTTATCTTGTGTCCAAGCATGTGTCCACTGGTATAGAAACTAAGCGATGTTTTTCATAGCTTTTTCCTGTACAAATGATTTCATTTAGGAGAATAATAGTCCTGTATTTCAGACCTATTCTGGTCTGTTCTGCGTCGTCATCAATCCTTACAAACGCCTTCCAATCTATACGGAGTCTGTATGCCAGATGTATATGGGACGACGTCGTAATGAGATGCCACCACATCTGTTTGCTGTCTCCGATGAAGCTTACAGAAACATGCAGAATGGTAATGTTAATTCGATAACAGCAGTTATTAAGATTAATATTATCCTTTCAAGATCATGAAAATCAGTCAATGCTGATTACTGGTGAATCTGGTGCTGGTAAGACAGAGAACACTAAGAAGGTCATCTCCTACTTTGCTATGGTTGGAGCAAATCAAACGTAAGTTATTAATTAGATGCCGTTTATGAGAAGGTAGAGTTCAGGACAATCCCATGTACCTTTATTGGGTTGCAGAGAGAATGTGTTGATGCACATCGATTTATCGATAACAAAGAAATATCGAAAATTCCTAAATAAGAAGACCTTTATTGATCTAGCTCGTTTGAGAGTGCTATGGTTGACGACGACGAAAGGGATGGGTCAATCACTTATGTTTTAGCTGATTGCATGGATAAAGAACTGCTCTATTTTGATAGGCGCGACGCATGACGCGGCCTCAACTTGTGGATTCATGAAAACAATGAGAACACTGTGAATTTTTTAGGTAGCGAACTGTGCCTTAGAGAAAATACCATTCCCAAAAGCCCCCACCACCTTCCTAATTATACATTTGCAAGAAAAATTAAGACTCCAAGTGCCTACAAACGCCCTAACATCGTTACCAATAGCTTTTTCTTCCTTTACCGCTACTGGTTTTAAGCTTCCTCCTTGTGATTTAAAGATAATCAAGCGACTGACCATAAGAACGTTACCTACTCCACAGCTGCTACGAATAAGGGTCTCTCAAGAAGGAGGACCAATAGCATAACTCGAGAGTCCTTTCTTATCATCTTCAATAGTGTTGGCAAAAAACTGCATGGCGAGTTGAAAAGGAATAAGCTTACGGTCGACTGTAACTCTCAGCTCTACAGCAAGTTTTATCTTAGGCAGGAGGCAATTTTTGCCTCAAAAAACCCTTTTTATTCAGAGAAACCTAGGGTTTCTTCAAGAGTTGGTAGTGTATTTCACTGTGATCAAGAAATACACTACCAACTCTTGAAGAAAAACATCTATTTATTTTTTCTATTCCTTAAGGGAAACTATCAGTATGCAAGCCGTTTTACTACAGATAAGGGATCTGGAAGCAAATCGGATGTGCAACTCAACCGCGCAGTCGCGGGGGATTGAGATTTTGATCAGTGGCACGGCTTGGTCGTCTTGGTCTGCAGAGAAGAGCGCACCTTGCCTTTCAACAAAGATTTCTTTTGGTGGTACTTCATGTCGAGTAAACGAAACGGAGTATTTAGTGAAGTGATTCAAAGAATCAACGAAAAAACAGATGAAGATCATTTGATCGAACACGACAGAGAGCTCGTTTGGATTGTCATTATTGGCCGATGCAACCTACGTTGCCATTCAGCTAGCAAAACGAAATGATGGAAATCCACTGAAAGGTTTAGAGGCAGCCTACAGGGGTGTTCGGGAACTTTTCTCCGCAGTGGTCAGAGGATTCAAACGTCATTAGAAAACAAGGCCCGAGTGGAAGCAATCATTGCAAACATGCTTTTCTAATTGTCGATCAACAGGTTTTAGCTTACTCGTTTAGGAATAAAAAGAAGGACAAGTTAAATGCATCGTTGGAAGATCAGATTGTGCAGACCAACCCTGTGCTCGAAGCATTTGGTAAGTAACATCCGAGATTCCAAGCATCAGCCATTTTGTAAAGTCGAATTATGTTCGATCATTACGATAATCACTGATCGATTCAATCGATTGTGCCTCAGGTAACGCGAAAACAGTTCGTAACAACAATTCCTCTCGATTCGGAAAGTTCATTCGCATCCACTTCAATAAGGCCGGAAAAGTTGCCGGAGGAGACATCGAGCACTGCATGTTTTTTTTT